CCCATGCACTGCGGCATCTCGTGGGCATCGTCATCTCAGCCTCCCGCGACCCCCAGGGCCAGTGCGGCCTCTCTGGGCGTGGCTTTGGGAGACCTGCTGCCCCCTCCACTCGAGGGCACTGTGCTCACAGCGCTGCCTTGCATTGCCTTCCAGCAAAAGCTCGGGCACCATCCGCGTGAGGCACAGGGGACCTTGCCAGGACGACGACTTGCATGACTCCTGAGCTTCCAGGCTGCACCCCGGCGCCCACGTCCTCCCCGCCGTCTCGCTCCCTGCCCCTGGGCTGCCTGGCCTAGAGGCCCCACTTGTCCCCACTGCACAGAGACCCGGTGTGTCCCACCCAGCCCCTTCTTGCCCTTTGCTTGTGCAATAAAACCAATGCAGCAGAACCCCGTGTCGTGCTCGTTTCCTCCATCTCTCTCTGCAGCTGGGAGAAAAGCCTGGCCGAGCGCGACGGCGTGCAGTCTGAGTGCCAGGCGCTAGGTGTCCTCGCCGGGCTGCCCTTGGCCCTTCCCTGCAAACTAGCACAGCAGCGGGAGGGGAGGAAGCCCCGGGGGATGCAGCCCCAGCGGCGCAGGTGCCAGCGCAGATGCATCGTGCAGGTGCCTGGGGGGGCTAGCACCCCCCTGCTATCAGCACTACACCCGCAGAGCCAAGTCCTGTGGATGATGGCTGGGGGCTTCCCTTAGACCCCCGACTGCTCCCTGCTGCTTGCAGCCAGGCCGTGCTATGAGACCCCCGGGAATGGGGTGACTTTGGGACTCGGGGCTGGAGCTCTTGTGCCTGCCCCCGCTGCGGAGAGTGGCCCTGTCCGTGGTGATCAGCCGCTTGGAGCTGCACTTGCGTGCCAGGAGCGCGCCCCTGCCCAGGTGATGTGGCCGGCCCCTTCTTCCAGGAATGTGGCTCGGCAAGGGGGGAACTAGAGGGTGACTTTGAAAAGCCCTGTTTCCCCGCACAGCTCACGTGCTTCCGCTTCTGCATTTCACAAGGTTCATCCTCATCCTAGGACTAACCCAGGCCTGGCACAAGTGAGCGGTGGTCTCTTGACGCCGGGGGAAGCCCCATCCCTTCGTGGCTGCAGGGGGGTCTGGCTCTGGCCAGGTCCCTGCTAGACGGGCTGAGGTCCGAGGGGCTCTTCCAGGCTCTGCCCTTGAGCCAGCTGGTCCTGCAGGTGCCTGGTCGCTGAGCAGGTCAGTGATCAATGCACCTGCTTCATTAGCTGTGAATTTACTCCTGGGGCCACTGCAGGCCAGCCTGAGCCCTGGCACGAGCGTAGCTTTGGAGACGGTGGACCTGCACCCCCGTGCACCAGGGCTTAATCCGTATCCCGATGGCACGGGGGCCGGTTCCAGGCACGGAGATGAGCCGGGAAAGCTGCCGTCCGGTGGTGGCTGGTTACATGGCTCTCCCTTCTCCAGCCTGGTCTCAGGGACACGGCCACCTGCCACACCTGGCTCCACGGGAGACTGGCACTGACACACCAGCCCACAAGTTGCACACATGACAGCCAGCACCAGGCTGACTTTCCAACGCGTTCCCTGCTGGCCTTTGCCTCTGAGCCGGGCACGCGCCTGGGCTGCAGTCAGCACAGGGACCCCCCTGCACACCTCCTTTGGCTTCAAAGCACGCCTTGCCCTGCCGCCCAGAGCCACGGGCAGTGGCCTCCTCGCGGCCCCAAGGGCTTTTAATGGCTTCTTCTACTGAGCCAGCGTGATAAGTGCGCAATCCTGGAGCCTCAAAATCTCCTCTGCACCAGTCCTTCCTCCCACCCCAGCCGCCAGGACTCCTGCAAGCTCCTCACCTGTCCTCCTGCCCTCATTGCCAATGCAAGTTCCCTGGGGTGGGGAACGTACTTGTGCCTCGGACCCCAAACCCTGTGTGGATCCATGCATGGTAAACACAATGGGAACGCAACCCTGGGTGCGAGTGCGTGAAGGGAAACTGAGGCTGAAGGCTATCAGGAAGCCTCCCCTAACGATGTGACCCATGGCCGGTGGAAGTCTCTGAGTCGGCGGAAAGGCTTCTTGTGTTTTGGGCCTGGGACAAGACTGGGCAATACCTTGCCAGGTCCCAAACTGCCCGTCCCCCGGCAGGACTGAGCCGCTCTTCCCCTCCTGATGCTGCGTGAAGGGGTGAGGGGGTGGAGGCAGAAGCTGGGGTTGAGAGAGAAAGCTTACGGTGGGGACTAAAATGCATCTCCTCCATTCATCCCTGAGTCCAGGAGACCAGCAAAGATGCATTAGCTACATGCCATGGCCCCAGCTCAGCCCCAGGACACATCTGCCCTTTGCAAGGGCTGGGAGGAGGAGCGCCCCAGGCTTCACCTTCAGCCCAGTCCTGCGGCTTTGTCCGGCGGATGCTCGGGGGCACGGGAGAAATCGAGCCCCTGACGGGAGGAGCTTGAGTCAGTGCAAAATCCAAGCGACTCTCACCCAAAGCGGGGAATGGGCGTTGGGGGAGAGGAGAGTCGCACACCGGGACTGAGAGCTGCAAAGAATTGCACCCCCGCTCCTGGCTCCGGCAGCAGGCGTCCAAGCCGGCCTGTCCTGGGGACGTCTGGCCATGCGTACTCCCATCCCGGACAGTGTCCAAAAACTGAGCTTTATGTGTCTCCTTGGAAGGACAGTCATGAGTTATGACTGCTGGGGAAAGCTGTTGCCAGCCTTGCCATTTTCAAGGGGTCTAGGCTAAGCTGAAGACCCAAAGCCTTGCTCTGAGTGACTGCAGTGTCGGCCTTTGCAGATGTGACAACTAATCTGGAAGCCATCGAACACAATTAAACAGCGCACAAGGCCTGAAGGAGGTAAGGAAGGACCATCCATTAAATAATCCATATATACTATCATAGCTTTATCTTAAAATAGGTGTAGTAGTGGTTGATGTAACCAAATGTATTAGATATTATTTTGCTATTATATATATGTATGTATGTATGTATGTATATACACACAAACACGCACACATATAAATACGTATGTGTGTGTGTGTATATATATGTATATACACACACACATCTATATGTATTATCTATATACATATAGATGTGTGTGTGTGTGTGTATAGATCGATGGATTTGTTAAAATGCTTAGATAATTTGTAAAAATAAGAACAGCCTTGCCCGAGAAGACCATAAAGTCAGGTTAAGAAGAAGCATAAACAGCAGTCCACAGCAGGGAAGAAAGGAGATAAGAAACCCTCCCTCTTTCCCAGGGGTATAAATCCCAGTGAAGTGACACCTTCCAAGTCCACCAGAAAGCTGGTTCAGTCCCATTCGAAAAGTTTCGGCGAAACAAAGGCATTTAACTAAAACCAGTCAGAGGTCATTTATTAGCGAATCGGCACTGGCCGTCTGTACGTACTGGCATGGGCTGGAGGACAATTTGGAGAACTCAGCCAACTCAAGCAGACCTGCTGCCCATCTGTGCCGCCCTCCTGCCAGCTGGCACAGGTGAGATCTACGTCGCGCTGTCGCGGGCACGGGCAGTCACGTAGACTTGGGGATTAATATTTGTTCTCATGTTTTAAGGTGCAAGCCAATAAAAGGTTGGGCTGTAGACTTGTTTCTGCTGCTTTTGTCAGTAGCCCACCCACAAGCTGGGGCAGCGGCGGGAAGATGGAGAGAAATGGCGAGGGGCTGGTAATGGGCATGAGGAAGGGTTGCAATGCAGCCCGAGGAGGAAAGGGTAGCCCGAGTCTGGAGAGACGGAGGTGAAGGGGGACACGAGAGCGGCTTCGGTATTCGGAGGGCTGCTGACACGAGGAAGGCGGGGACGCTTTCTTTCCAGCCACAGAAGGCAGAGACCAGGCAGCGGGTTCGAGCGCAGCCAAGCAGCGTCCCAGCAAAGCTGAGGAAGGATTCCCTAGTGGGAAGAGCAGCAGGGCCAGAGCAGAGGCCGTGGGCATTGCTTCCAGCCCTGTGAGCCCCTGGTCCAGTGAAACCTGGGCAGAGAAGCAGCTGGATGCAGGGGCGGCTTTTCCCAAGGGTCTCATTACGATGCTTGGTGCCAAACCTGCCCTCCTTGCTCCCGAGGAGCCTCACCGTGCCCCGACTGTGCAGCGGACCCCTGTCCCGGGATGCGGTGCATTGAACCAGGCCCTTGCAGCGTGGTCCTTTCTGCACCCGACTGGCGGCGGTGCGCTCGGCTCAGCCCCTCCTGGGCGATGGGCTGAAAACTGAGGGCCCCTCGCTCTCTGTCAGGCTGACCCTGTGGCTGGACCTCTAAAGCAGAGCAGACAGCATGGAGGCCACTGCCTGCCACAGCTCGCCCCGGGTTTTGGCCTCCCACAGATGAATCTCGGTGGAGGAGCTCGCAATGCTGCGATGCTTTCTTTGCAACAGGTCTCCAGGCTGCAGCCGTACTGGTCTAGAGGCAAAGGGACCCTGAACTCGTGGTAGGGGTGATCTCTTTTGTTAGATTTTTGCAACAACAAAAAAAGTTTCTTTAACTGCAATTAAAGCTTGCAAGAATGGGGTTTTTTGCCAAAATCGAGTTGGTCTAATAAAAGAGATCACCTCCACCATGAGTTCGGATTCCTTCATTGCACCGGGGCTTTCAATCAGCGGTGCGTGGTGCGTGTTCTGTCCTCGGGAACAGGCCTCAGGGTCTTGTCTTAAAAGGGGCTGAGGCCCCCCGGGCCCCCCTGGCTGGAGAGAGGCCATTAGGTGCACAGCCGATGCCTTGGGACAGCAAATGATGGCACAGGAATGGGAGGCAAGGCTACAGGCTGCTCACCAGGGAGGGACCCAGCAGAGAGCATCCACTGCTCCAAGATGCTTCAATTAGCTCAACCGGCCTAATTAATACCGCAGTCACCAAATTAGGGGTGTGACCTATTTGTTCAGCTCAGCTTCTGGAAAAACCCGCTGAGGACAGAACAACACAGGTGTTCCCCTTCGGAGGAATTTCTCCTGGTTTCCCAAACCATCAACAACCAGTTTGGACACATTCATGGGGAAGGTGGGTGCTGGGCACCCTCTATATAGGGCAGGGCTGCGGGGTTTGCCTGCAAAACAGCTGCTGGGCGCAGACCGGGCGGCTTGCACCATGAAGGCAGCAGGAGCCCTGGTGCTCCTCGCCATCGCGCTCCTCTGCTTCTCCTCAGGTGAGTCCCCTTCACCCAGCCCGCGCCGAGCCCCAGCTCCGGCACCCAGGATGCTGGAGAAGGGTAGGGTTAGTCCCGCCTACAACTTCTCGTGGGTTAGAAAGTGGCTTCTCCCAGGGGAGCCTGGACCCCTAACTTGGGGCTGCTGATCCCCTGCAATGGGAGAGCTGCCCTGACCCGGGGCTGGGACGGCAGACAGCGCCCATGGCACAGGACGCACCAGCGCTCCAGGACTGGGGAGATGAAGCCGGGGCAAGCTGTGAGCGTTGTGCAGGGACCAAGGGGCCACCGGAGCTGGAGCTTGAAAGGGACAGTTGTTGTTTTCGGATCCCTGCCGGGGTGATGCCGGACATCCCCATTACTCAAGTCAGGGCCAGCTCCTTTAGGACGCGTTCGTCTTGCGGGAAGCAGAGACACAGACTGTGTGCGTGTGTGCACGCAGGTGTGCATGCGTGTGCACTTGCGATGCAAGCTGGATGCAGTTGTGTTAAGAGGCAGAGTCACAGGCTCCCTCCTCATTTCTGCCCTTTGTGTTTTGTTGCAGAGGTTGCAGCTCAGCCCGGCAGCAGGGTAAGTGCCGCCCTCAGGCTTCCAGCCTCAGGGTCCCTCTGTGTGCTGTAAATGGGTGCAGTCCTTGCAGACCTCACTGAGGCCCTGACACCGTCTTCCCCAGACCCTTGCCCCTACATGGGGTTGGGGTGAAGTGCCTAGCGCCCAGCCAGCAGTTCCCAGCCCAGGAGGTGCAGGGGCGGTGGGGATCCCTAAGCCCCGACAGCAACCCTCAGCTCAGCGTCATCTGTGCATCGGAGGCAGCTGCACCCGGCGGATCTCCCCGGGGATGTAACTGCACCCGCGGGAACTGGGGGCCACGGAGACGTGGTCATGGCAGGGGCCGGGCAGCGCTGCCCCATGCGCACCGTGGGCTCTGCTCGCATCGGCGAGCTCCCCATCCCCAGCTTCTTGAACCTGGCACAGAGGCAGCGGGCAGGACGGTGCTGCCAAGCCCCCCCGGGCCAAAGCGGGGATAAGAGCTGCCTCGTTGCCTCTGCAGTGTGACGGCGATGACACGATGTGCCCAGTGGTCTACGATCCTGTCTGTGGCACGGATGGCAAGACATATCCCAACGACTGCTACCTTCAGGCAGCAAAGACGTAAGTGCAGCACCACTCGGCACCGTCTACATGCCCTCGCCCGTGAGGAGCCCCTCTCCGCAGCCGCCCCATCCCTGGGGTGCTCATGCTCTGCCTCCCTTGGCTTCTTCCCTGCCCCCCCAGGCCTTTCCCAGCAGACCCTCGACGCTCCCGACATGGCGAGCTGCTGCACGCCGGCCCCTGCCAGGGCTATCACAAGCTCAAAAGCCAGTCTGCCCGGCTTACTGGGGGTTGTGGAGGCACTGGGCCACCCCCCTTTTGCACGAGGTCCCTGGGGTGGCTCTGATGTCATGGTGTTTCTCTCCCTAGGAAAGTCCGGGTGAACTACCAGGGGCCTTGTCGCTAGCGGGGCGAGGTGGAGAGGCGATGCCCTTCCACTCCCCGGCACGTCCCCGTGGGTGAGGACGACGTGCAACCTCATCTGCTGCGCAAATGCATCCGCGCTCCTGCACGCCCCCCACCCCTGCCTTCCCTGCACATCCCGAGCCCCGTGATCGGAGGCCTCCTCTTGCTGTGCTTGATCCATAAACTGCCTGCAGCACAATCCTGCCTCTTTGTTTGTGGCCCGTGAAGAAGTTGCGTCCCCCGCGCCCGGCCAGGGCTTTCCCGATCGGAGCAGCACGAGTGTCGGGGCAGAGGTGCCAGGGCGCAGGGCTCCTGCAGCCGCGCTCGTGGCTGCGCTGTGTCCCGTCTTGCCCTGACGTCTTCCCAAGCTGCAAACTCCAGCAGCCCCCCATGCTGAGGCTGCAGGACCGGCTGCCCCGTCAGCCTGCAGCATGCACGCAATGGGCCTCAGAGGGAGCTCATGCCCCGGGGTGGGGGTGTGGGGTGCCCCTGCCTTGCTTGGGCAGCTCCAAGCCTGCCCGGCAGCACTCGGGGAGGCCCTGAGAAGGCAACCGGCACGCTCGGCCCCACAGCGCGAGTCCTCTCGGCAGGGCAATACCAGAAGACACGATGCAAGAGGGACGGCGGGAGGACTCGATGACTGAGCCATGTCCTGGAAGGGGATTGACCCACCCTGGAAAGCTGGGGTTGCTGAGGAGCCGGGAGCGCGATGGATTACGTGTGTGGCCAGATGTCCCCAGGACAGGCCGGCTTGGACTCCAGGAGCTGGGATGCAATTCTTTGCAGCGCTCAGGTCCCGGTGTGCGACACTCCTCACACTACGCCCATGAGTTGCTTGGATTTTGCACTGACTTGAGCTCCTCCCGTCAGGGGCTCGATTCCTCCCGTGTCCCTGAGCATCGGCCAGGCAAAGCCGCAGGACTGGGCTGAAGGTGAGGCCCGGGGCGTTCCTCCTCCCGGCCCTTGCAAAGGGCTAAACAGAGCAAATACATCCTGGGGCTGAGCCAAAGGAGGCAACCCTGGCCGATGCCTGAACTCCTCACATTGTGTGTTCAGATCCGGGCCAGGAGAGCGGAGGGGAAGACGGCTGTGCTAGCACAGGATGGTCGGTCTGTAATGGGAACAGCCCGATCACAGTGTGACACAAGCCCACGGTCCAGGACGGTATCAGAGATGCAAGATACGGGTGCAGTGAAGACGTAATTTGTTTTCACCGCTGTACAAAAGGAAGTACAGAAACTTTGCAGCGGCCTGCGCAGTGTTGTGCCGACCACCTTGTCACGGCACAGATGCGTCAAGCCCCGGCCTGATGTGCTTGTCAGGCCCAGACGTGTTAGGGCCGTGCTTGTCGACAGTAAACCTGGCTGAATCTTTCCCCTAAACCCGACCCGTGCTCGTTCTTTAAGACACGATCGGAGCTGGGACCTCCTGGCTGCTGCGTTTCCCAGCACTGGGACAGCCACACCTCAGTAACCCCCAACGAGTCCGTGGCAGGGGCAACCCGCGATGGGCGCAGGCCACGCACCCGGGCTCATTCGGGCTGGAGGTTTAGCTGCTTTCAGAAGGCAGCTGGGCAGGAGAGAGCCCTGGGCAGAAACGTGTGACCCCAGGAAAGCAGCGCCCAGCGGCTGGGCATCCCACCCGCCCGTGCGCCCTGCAGGGAGGGGAGGGGAGGGGAGAGGGGGCAATGCTGCTCTTTCCTGCAGCAGTGGAAAGCCAAGCCGTGCGCTGCACAGGAGGGAGGTGGGAGCCCTGGCCCACAGGGTCCATTCGCGCGTGGGGAGGGAGCCGTGAGAGGAGCAGGCTGTCTCCCCACCCAGGGCCTTTATCTTACTAGCTGACACGTGCGACGTGGTGCCCCTTCCAGCAGCATGCTGGCTCGCCCGAGACGGCATGTGATTACAGAAAGCAAGCGCTGGCTTGCAAGACTTTGCTGTCTCCTGCCACTAGAGCAGGAGCTTTCCCAGGCAGAAGGAAACGGGGCTCTTCTTGGAAGTCACCCTCTCACTTGGGTTCCTGCAAGCTCAAGGCAGTGGGAGGTTTTGGGAGGCTCTGGGGCTGCTCCCCAGGGAGGGGGCAGGCCGCACGGGGGTGCACAGGGTCCACCCGCAGAAGAGACGGCTCTCACCTGGTCCTCTACCTCCAAACCAGCCCAGCGAGCAGGCATCAGGCGTAACTCCCTCCATTCGGGAGCCCGTTTCTTCCTTCTCCCCAGAGCTGCTGGGCAGAGGCTGGTCGTCACTCATGGCCTTTCATACTTGGCCCTGTCTTTATTCTCCCAGCCCAACATGCCTCGGCTCTTCTCCCCACATGGCAGACCACAACTGGAGGCACAGGGGAAGGGAAGGCAAGGTCCTTGAAGGTCTTCAGGCCCCTGACTCCTACTGAAGTACAAGGGGATTTGGCACCTTCTGACTTTGGTGATTCTGGACCGAGGTGACATGACCAAGGTCACACATGGTAGTCTGTGGCAGAGCAGAGACGCATTCTTTTGCATCCCAAGAGCAGGCCTTCCTCAGGGCACCCTCCTGTCCCTCAGAGGGGTGTTAGCTAAGGGTGAAACAGTCTCTCTGGATTTCCATGTTCTCATAGTCCTATGAGACACGCCGACATAGCCCAGCCATCTCCCGTGACCCGGTGCTCTGAGCACCTGCGCTACACGCCACTCTCTGGCATTGCCCTGTGCATTATAGCAACAGGAAACACTCAGAGGATAGTGCTGAGTTTTCTTTATTGAGCAAGCAGCTTGGAGACAACGTTGCCCCCAGAGCGAGGGTGAGATGAGCGGGGATCTGGGCCCTGGGCTTGGAGAGTGAAAGCGGACCGACGCTTGGCATGGCCGGGGACTTAGCATTTCCCCATGTGGTGCAGTCGAAGCTTCCCCCCGCTTCTCCTGCAAGACAGACGCGGATCCAGCCGGAGGTTAGAGAGGCCTGTCCCCGCGGCACGGGCGCCACAACGCTGCCGGGGCAGGAACTGCCTGCTCCGACACTGGCCGGCTCCTTGTGCCTCAGGGGAAGGCGTTGGCCTCTGCGGTGGGCATCGCAGGGTTAACCCGCACGAGCAGGTGGGGTCCCAGCACTCAGCTCACCGCCCAGCAGCAATTAAATTCAATTAAGTATGCTTTCATGAAGATCTGAGGCAAGCTGGCCTGCCGGGAAAGCTGGCAAGCCAGCCTGCTTAGACTTTCCCTTCTGGATTTTGCAGAGGAGCAGCCCCAAAACAGGGCTTGGGGGGAGGCCTTGATGCCCAGGCCTTGTGCTAGCCTCGCAGCGGTCAGGGGACGGCCAGAGAGGACTTGCAGCAAGCTGGATTCCTCTGGCCGTGTCTGAGGTGGAGGCAGGCGAGGGATCACTGCACTTTGCAGGAAGGATCGAGTAGTCCCTACGAGCAGAAGCCGAACGGATCCCGGCCCTTTGCTCCAAATGCCCGGCCTTCAGCTCAGCCCCACTTGTCCTTGCTCCAGGTCACTTACTCAATGGCCTTGCAGAAGGCGCACAAGTTGCCGTAGGTCTTGCCGTCGTCGCCGCAGTGGGGGTTGGACTCCCGCGTGCAGTAGGTGCCCGAGTCCCTGAAGTCGCTGCAGTCAAGCTGCAAAAGGCAACGGTAGATGCCCTTTAGGATCCCTTTCTCCCCCTTTCTTCCCTTCCTTGGCTCTCACAAGATGTTCACTCGCTCACTCTACCCTTTCTGCCTCAACGGCCGTGACGGCAGAGCCCCCTTCTCTCCAGTGCAATGGGCATCGCAGCCCACCGGAGCCCTGTTTGGGGGAAGTTGCACAGGAAGAGAAGTGGCATTGATGCTCTTTTAAAACCCACGGCCACCCCAAGGACCGCCCGGCTGAGCGGTGCCTCCCCCCTTGGCCCAGCTCTTCAGCCCAGTGCCTCGCCCGCACCCCAGCTCCATGCCTTTGCACCTGAAGGAAAAGCAAGCGATGGCTTGTAGACGTCTCCGAAACAACAGCAAGGCAAGGCCAGTTTTGATCGCCTCTTACAGCCATCTTTTGGCTCAGGCCATGCTGCAAGCATTGACTGGGCTCCGGAGAAGGTGCACCGCCACCCACCCACCCTGGCACGGGATTTTGTGATCCATGCATGGTTCAGCTTCATGATGGATCACCATCCATATGTCATGCGTGGATCACCTTGGTGCTGGTGCATTCCCCCCAGCGTGGGAACCACCCAGCTCCACTCATTCCCTTTTAAAATGATCTTCCAAGAGTCGAAAACGTGGTTGCAAAGACCCCTTCTCTTAGAGCAGGAGGAAGAGCAAAGCATTGCATAGGATCAGCGGCCCTAACCTCGTTCTCCTCTTTGCCGGCAACACCTGGAACAAAAGAGAGAGAGAGAGAGAGGACATTTGCAGCAGCGGCACAGGCCCCGAGGAGAGGCGAGGTGGTCATTCACCCTAGACAACGCAGCGTTATGGTCTCGTGCAGCGGGGCCCCGCGGGTGGAAATCAGCCACCTGAATTGTTCTCCCGGATCTAGCGGAGGGACAAACGGGACCTGGGGGGGGGCGTTGATTCTTCTAGCCTTGCCCTGCCGATGCCCCCTGGTCTCTGGGAAGAAAAGCTCAGGGACGGGACCATCTCCGGTGACCTGAACCCGGGTCGTGTGGCCGTGATGTGGGGGACCTAGGTCAGGCACCCTCCCTGCCCCCAGGGCTGCCAAGGGCCCATCAGCTCACGCGACACAGATGTGTCAGGCCGGCAGCTGGGATGGACTCTCCTGTATCTAGGAAGGGCTGGTGAGATCCTCTTTCCCGGGACTTGCTGGCAGCCTCTGTCCACACCCGGTAGATCTGAGCAGGAAAGGAGCAGGGGACACAAGGAGACGGAGAAACCCTTGTCCCAGCACCCTTGGCTGGCAGCATCCCCTGCCCACCCCCCACCCCCCCC